TGAACGCTCAAGAGATACGCCCGCTAAGGCCTAAGGCATACCTAATGCGATGCCCTCGCTGGGCAATCTGGAGTGCAACGACTTGTCGTAATGAGTCGTAAACGGGCTTTGCTTGGGCCAAACTTCATGTATTTGCGTTACAGAAGCTACGCGCTTATTCATTTGAGACTCGCGCATGAGTAAACTGTAAACATATGGCAAATTGCCAATGCGCGTGAATGCAGCGACTTGACGGAATCGTTGGAAGTATGCCTTAAGCTTAACGCGGCAAGGGGGTCTAGCCATAGATGCGGTAGGGTACCTTCATACTGCGCCGGCAGCCGCCGCTAGCAGCACGTAGCAGCCGCCAGCAGCCCGTAGCAGCCCATAGCAGCCCGTAGCCGCCGCTGGCCGCTTTCGTTTTATAAGCAAAATTATCATAATCTTACAACTTTGAGTGACAACTTGCTCTTGTCTACGTTTTTCACCTTCCACGCTTTTCTTTTGTTGTCGCCAGTACGCAGTTTGATCACATATCATATATGTGTCCATTGTTGTCATTACCTTCTCGCTGCATGGTCATCCTGTTGAACCATAGTTCGCAGAAAATTCCTTTTGGTGTAATTCGCTCTGACTTTGGATGCATCCGGTTCCTGCTGGTGTGCAATTTGTTTTTTGAGTATGCTTTTGCTTCAATTTTTTCTTGGCTATCGGTGCATATCTAACTTGCATTCTGCTATTTCGCAAGTTCGCCGGGATTTATTTGCGGGTTGAGTTCTTCTGGCTTTGATGATCGCTCACATCTTTTTGAATAAGACAGAATGCAAAAGAATGTGAGCGCAATAGGATAATGTGCGGAACAGAATAATGAACACAAATGTATTGTGGGGGAGTTGAACTGCATATTAGAGGTAATAAGAGAAAATAAGCGTAGAAGATGAAAAGCGTAGGCAGGAGCATTTAAAGTAGTAAGATTTTGACGATTTTGCTTATAACCAGGGTCAAGCTTGTGATGCGACTGTCGCAACGAGGGGTCGCAAGAGGGTATCTAAGGTTGGGGGGGGGGGTCGTAAGAGGAGGTAGTTAGACTAAAATACCCTAGGCTTCAAAGGGAATCAAAAAGCAAGCAATTAGTTATGTTCTTTACAATAAATCTACAAAAAAGTGGAAATCAGAATAAAAAAGATAAAAAATCTGTAGAAATTCTCAAAAAAACATTTACAAGAGCTCAAAACACTTTTGAAGGATGTATTATTTGATAAAAATGCTCAATGCACCGATTGCCCTAGAAATCTTGCTTCTGAAGCCTTCCTGAACAGGGTTCGGCACGAGCTGGCACCAGGGAAATTTCAAAACGAAGTCCCGTTTGATCTTGAAAATTACGTACGAAGTCCCCTTTGGCCTGTTCTGAAGACCCGTCATTATTTTTAAATTATGTAAAAGTATGTAGTAAAGTTTTCATGCATGTTGATTTCATGGAACAACTCTTTACAGCTTTCTGAGCTTTTTAAGTGGTTGGATCACATCTTGAGAAGCAGAAAAAGCCGATTTTTCGACTGCGGAGCAGACTGAGTAATTTTCAGATGGCTATAAAACGCTGAAAAGAAAACATTATGAAATTGATTCTTCTCTGTATGAAAACTTTTACAGTGTAGCCATATTTTATGTAAAAAAGTATGAAATCTTATGTGAGCAAAGTTTCGGTGCCAGCTCAGCTGGCACCCAGCTTGCACGGTGCCAGCTAATTCAGAAAAAAGTTCAGCACAGCTTTCATCCACATAAGTTTTCATACATTTTTGACCCAAAGTTCGGGTCCCCCAACGCGCATGCACACACCAAATTTGGTTCATACTATTGTGTTTTAGCTGAAAACAATGCTTTTGTTTGTTTGATAGACAGCATGCCGGTGGCATGCCGGCGGCATTCTTGCGGCTCTTTTCCACCCGGACCCCGAAAAAACGATATCCCCTTTGCTTTCCGCCCTAAAAACCATAGCCAGCTTGACCCGGTGCCAGCTGCGCCGAGCCCTGTTCCTGAAGTCTCACACACTCGACAAAAGCGTGTCTTTACCAGCTGTGACCATCATAAAATTCTAAATCTTATTGTAATGTTTTTTACGGGCTCATATGGTTTATCTGTACTTTTGAGATGCTCCGCTATATCAGTGCAAAATTTGGTGTTATTTTGTCAACTGTGGATTTTCTTATGATTTTATGTATGGTAGCAAAAAGTCAGGAGAGGGGGGTCGTATCTGGGTCGCATCTAAATTTCTTCGGAGCTATTGAAGCTTGTTGGCTGCAGTTCTGCTGTAATATAAGGCCATCCTCCTACTTTCCCTCGTAAAAATTGCAGGCTGTTTTATAACTTCCCTGGTAAATTGCAAAATTTCAAGCTCAAAAATCCCACTTTTTGCTTTCTAGGATCGCATCTAAATTTGCGAGATTCGCATCTAGATTTTTTCGAGCTTACTGCTCCTCAAGAGCTGAAACTTTTTCTTTGGAAAGTCTGGGCACTATACTACAGAACCTGTGCTTAGCAGCCTCTCAGTCTTTTCCTGGCCTTAGTTACGAATTTTCAAACTACCGTTCTCATGCACGTTTTTGACGTCGTTCTGGACAACGCTCAAGCGGTTGTTTCGCGAGAAAAACTGTGGAAGAGGTAGGAAGTAAGCTTCTTAGTCGAAAACATCTTTTGTAGTTCAAGAATGTCATTTTTTTGCAATCGAATTTGCTGGTCTGAAGTATGCCTGAAAATTCAAAAAAAACTTGCAGAATCTCAAACATTATCAAAGGTGTGTATGTGTGCTACAGATGATGGACGCACCCATTGGCCTAGAAATTCTGCTTCAACCTCACTGAAGTTCTCACGCAAGTGTTTTTTGAGATTGACATTCGTTTATGCAGGTTACCGAATGTGGGCAGGGGAGGTAAGGGGTATAAATGAGTGAGGGTGGAGAGGGGGGGAGGGGGAAGGGGGGGGGGGGTCGTACGGATGGGTACCTTCAAGGGGGGGGGGTCGTAAATGAGGGTCCCGGATCGCATCAGCACGCTTGACCCTGCTTATAACAAAGGCGACCAGCGGCGGCTAGGGCTGCTAGCGGCGGCTGCCGGCGCAATATGAAGGCACCCATAGGTGGAGAAATTTCTCTGACCCCTTCACTTTAGAGTCGGCATCGGCTGACCCCTTGCAACTGAGGTTAACACTAGAATCAAGGTATAACGGCAGAATCAAACAATTGTTACAACGGCACTTTCTGTTTGAAAAGTAAAAGTCAGATGCTCTTCTCCTCAGACATCAAGACTGCAAGAGAGTATAGAAGCAACAGCGTTTTGTTGAAAAAACGCACGCTTGAGATCTTTGCGCACTCAAAGTGGCGTTGATAACGAAACATAATCAAAAATCAAAAGATACTAACTTTTGAATAATTAACATTAACATACTGTCGCAAAAAGAGTTGCGCAAGAATAGAAAGTTTGGACTAGCTAGTGATGGTTGCATGTTTACTGACAAGAATCGTGCTATATCTCCTTTCACTGAAAAGGATAGTAACAAATAAAAGAGCAGTCAGGTTACTCGTTTTTCAAGCTTCAGAATTGTCGGGTCCACATCAGCTGTCCCTCCTCTTGGAGCGGGTTGTAAAGCCCGCTGGAGGACAGTGACCCCCGACGACCGCTACCAGCAGGTTGCCCTTGCGGCTTCTTCCCCTTTTCCCCCTTTCCCCTCTATTTATCTTAAATAATAAATATTAGTGAATAAGACTCTTGTACTTACCGCTACACATCAGGTAAAGGACCTGCAGACCTTTAACCTGACATGGAGGACCCGGGAAGATTTGAATTTATCCCCCCCCCCCCTATTTTTTTTTCTAGCTTGAAAAAAAAATTTTTTTTCTCTTCCTTTTACCCCCCGAATTTTTGGAATTCTAAATATTATTTTTTTTGAAGAGAATTAACTTTCTCTTGGGCAAATTTATTCCCCCCCCCCCCTTCCTTCTTCGTCTCCAACGAATTGTCGACGGACACAAACGAACGAATTTGTGAGTATTTTTTTTACACACATCGACACTATTCTACTAAAAAGAATGTCTAATCCTTTCAGAAAAATAAAATATGTACAAAAATCACCTAATATCTGAAAAAAAAATCCTGCGAACAGTCCCAACGTCGATCTAAAAATTTCCTAAATCTAGGTTTGTAACTAATAAAATCATTTAATCCGAGAACCGAGACCCGAGAACCGAGAACCGAGATTTCGATTTTCTTTCCCTCTTTCTTTCTGAAACCGGAAATTTTTGAAGAAACATCCGTAATTTTTTTCCCTTTCCTTTTGCAACCGCAAAATTTTTGAAACCGTAATTTTTTTAAACTCTCTTACTTCGTCATTATAAATGTAATCCCTGCTATTTTTTCCCGAGAACCGAGATCCGAGATCCGAGAACCGAGAACCGAGATCCGAGATCCGAGATTTTCGAAAAGTTTTTATTTTTCTTTTCTTCTAATTTTTTTTAGGTCTAAGTAATAATGAAAAAATGGTAATTACGTTTCAGACAATGGACTTGTTCGCTCAGCTAGCTCAAAATTAAACCTACGGTATACCTAAGCCCTACATAAATATTTTTTTATTTATGCTAGGCGCTTCAATTAATCAAACTGCTATTACACCTAGCTTGGAATGCTAACCTCCGGAAAAGTTTCAACCGCGCAACTGTCCACACGCGCTTATCCCCCAGGAAATTTACGAGCGCAACTGCTATCAACATTAAATAAAGCAATTAATTTGGCGGCGCGCATCAACAAGAATAATTTATGACCCCCAATATTTTCCGATGGCTGCGACCCCGCCAACTGTGGATTACACTTTATTTTACAACCCTAATTCCTGTTACAATGAATAAACAATCACAATAAGTAGTTTATTCAAACAAAAAAAAACAGAACAATCAACAATAGATTAAATATACATTTTTTTTAGTAATGCCGCTCGGTATAATCGTACTTCTTTCCGCGCGCTTCACACGACTCTTAAAGAGAGTCGCAGTGAACATTTTCTAACCTCACTTCCGATATTCCGGCCAAATTCCTCAGCAGGAATTTGGCGAAGTGGTCTGGGAGCGGCGCTGTCCTTCCATAGTTGATCAACCGCAATTGGCCCATGTGCAGCCGCACCCAGGGGTGGTCCGCGCGCCACGATTTGTCCGAGCGGAAGAGGTTGAACCTCTTCTTCTTGCCCGACCGCATAGGGGCTGAAAAAAATTTTTTTTGGCTTTGAGACATTTTTTTTGAGTTTAATCCGAAAAAAAGAGAAAATAATAATAAAAAAAAAATAAAAGAGGAAAAACTCACCGAAGAAGAATTCGTCCCTATCCGTGGTCACGCGGACCATGCCTTCGCCGTGATTGATTATTTCAATGCACGTCTCCACCACGTTTCCCCTCCTGAGGAAGTGGTGGAGGAGCTCTTCCTCTTCCTCTGGGTGCAGCGAACGGACCTTGGCCGTGTGCGCCTCGAGGGCTCTGGGTAGCACCTCATGAACTGTTTGCAGATCCCGCACCATTCGAGTCAGGTCCTGAATATAAGTAATTAAAAAAAATTTTTTTTTCTTTCCTTCCTCATAAGTTAAATTATTTTTTTTCCTTCTCTCCGCAAATTAGATTGAAAAAAAAACCGCTAAACTAGATCAAACTTAATTTTGTAAATAAACATACCTTTTCTTGCTCTTTGCACAGGGACTCCGACTTCCTATATTGGCTGTCGCGCAGCCCCCTGCTCCATTGCAGAGCCTCGATTTGTCTCCGGGCTACCTGCAATTCTTCCTCCAGCTCCTCGATCCTTTCCAGGGATTCGGTGAGATGCAGTTCAGCCCGGGTGGCAGCGTTGAACACCGTTGTGTGGTCAACAGAGGCCCTTCCGGAGGCTGGAGGACTGAAGTCCTCCACATGCTCTCCGAAACTCTGCGGCTGAAAAAAAACACACAATAAAATAGGAATAAAGATAATCAAATAAAATGATGTCTATTTTTTTCCCTTTTTTTTCTTCCTTTCTCGCGATAAAATAAGACGAAAAAAAATGGATAAGATATTTTTATTTCTTTTCTCTCTCATTTTTTTTCCTCAAAAACACACACCATCAGAAACCTCAGAAAATGCTGAACAAACTCAGGTTGCCAAACGAACTCCTCGTTTGCAACTGAGTCAATCATTTACAGCGGACCCAAACATCGATTCCGAAGGAGAGGATGAATAATTGCTCGCTAAATTTTTTATATCCGTTTGATATTTTGCAATGAGTAGTTATTCATTCTCTAAGGTCAGTTTGTTTCCCCTATTTCTGCTGCACCGCGTATTTACGACCTTAAAATTTTCTTTGAACAGGCAATTCAAAGAAATTTTTTGCACTAGGCGGCTCAACATCAAAAAAAAAACCTTTTTGTAACAAACAAATTTTGCCCTTATGTTGAATGACAACAAAGTGTGCAATGCCCAATTCAACATACGAAACTCGTTACGCCTTTGTTTTACATGCAATTATTCACCGAAAATGTCACTGTGAACAAAATTTTGTAATTTTGTAAAACCACTATAGAATTATGTTTTATAATTGTCTAGAAATTACTGTTAAAATTTATCTGCGTATATGTATCATGCATTTATCATTGATTTACCATTATTATCACCTTAAAATCATTTTGCTGTTAACCAGTTTTATTCGTCATACCCTCTACTTCGTATGTTCAGTAATTTCATGCTACAATTTTCTACATGCTGTAAATTCCACCCCAAATGTTAAATCATTTGGCCTTCGATCAACTATATTTTTACCATGCCCTAAAATCAATCGGTCCATCTCCATTTCCTACAATTCCATTCCAACTCCTTCCCAGCATCACGTCGGGAACCCCATTTACATCAACTGCATCTCTCCGCAGTTCCTCCCCCTCTCCTCAGCTACCTTCAAGCTCGAGGACGATCTTACTCAACGCCATAGGATATTCTAGGTGAAGGTCGTGTCTGCTCGCAGTCCACCGGATCCATAACCTCATTTCTGTATGTATTTTAACATATCATCACGCCAACTGTACGTTCTCGCCGTAAATCATGTGTAAATTCCAACACACGTTACCCGGAAGAACTTCTGCCATATTTCGATATATCACACTTCAATTGTATGTTCTCGCCGTAAATTACGTGCAAACTTCAACGCACGTCACTCGGAAGAACATCCACCACATCAACGCCAACCACCACAACGTCTCGAAACCTCAGCCATGCCACAAGCTCGAGGACGAGCTTCTCGAAGGAATGGAGATGTCGGGTCCACATCAGCTGTCCCTCCTCTTGGAGCGGGTTGTAAAGCCCGCTGGAGGACAGTAACCCCCGACGACCGCTACCAGCAGGTTGCCCTTGCGGCTTCTTCCCCTTTTCCCCCTTTCCCCTCTATTTATCTTAAATAATAAATATTAGTAAATAAGACTCTTGTACTTACCGCTACACATCAGGTAAAGGACCTGCAGACCTTTAACCTGACAGAATCACATATACAAGTTCGAAAAAGACCTTTTGGTTTGAAAAGATGATTACCCAGAATTGGCTGATATTGTAGCTAGATAAAACTGCTCGTATCCCGCTTTACAGAAAAGCTAGGAAAAAAGAGATGGACCAAGTCGATCCCTCGTGTTCTCAGCTACCGAATGCTATACAAAGTGTTGGTGCACAAGCCTTTCTCAGTCCAAAAAAGACTTGTTCCGGCAACCCATAGAAAGCAAGAGCGGGGTGGATCAAGTTAATACTAAATATCTCCACCTCATTTTTGAAAAGATACGAGTTTTTTCACCCAACCACTTTAGAAAGCTTACGAAACAGGGATTCGACGTAGACCGTCGCTTTTTCTCTAGCTCCCCTCTAGATAGAGATACATGGCATTTTAGTAGAATTTGTGAAGAAATTTTTATGCAAAGAGTGGTTGAAAATGCCCACTTGTCTAACCCTATTACAGAGCAAGACTTTGCCAGTAAACGTAGACCGTCCCTTTTTTTCTAGCTTTCCTCTTTCTTTCGAAAATGGAGCTCAAAGTGATTGCATAAAATCAGGTGATGCTGTAGCTAGATATGTTTTTTATCTGAATTTACAGGAGAGCTGGAAAAAAAGAGACGGTCTACGTCGATTCTGTATGCTCCAAGCTTTCGAATGGTATGTCGACTGATAAAATATAAAGTTTTCCTGAGTCGAAAAGGTCTCTGTTGGATGACCTTCCAAAGCATAAGCATTGAGAAAATCTTCATATCACACCTCTGTACCACTTATTTTCCTTCTCTTCACTCCCTCCCCCGTTCAAAAATGTAAGCTTGCGTCAGCATTCATCTTGAAGCTCAGTTACCCCCTTCACTTTTCTAAGTCGGAAATAGCCAAAACCTCCTTCACCTGGAGGGGACCCTGCTTTTTCCATTGCACCTAATGGCTTTAGCGTTGCGCTTGAGCTGATTGGAGAGAGAGAGAGAGCACATTCAGTGACACGGACTGGGGGGGGGGGGCGGACGTTAGGTACCCAGCCGAGGTGCGGGCGTTGGGTACCCAGCCGAGGTGCGGGCGTTAGGTACCCAGCCATTTGCTGTATACACTAACCCACGCCCCTTGGTTCTTCAACAGCGGGTACCTAACGATACACTTAATTTTAGCTGCCAGAACAGCTCACCTAGCTCGCTATGGCGCTGGCGCTTGCAAACCATAGGAAAGGGGTAGTTCGAGGAAATCAAAAAGAAATTGCGCAAATAAAAGCGCAAGTTCGTATGCAATTTGGGAATCACAGAAATTCGGTGATGAATTTTAAAAACAGTAAAGATTACATGAGCAATTCACATCGTTTTGCAAGAAAAAAAAGGTAAACCTTGTAGGATACTAGTAAGCCAATTTTTTATAAATTCAATAAATCAAAGCAAACTTTCGGAGTTGCTTCTGGCACTTTGTTGCACGAAATATTCCTTTGTTTCAAAAACTGCTTTAAGGACATTCTTGACAATGATAAGTGGAAGCGATTGAAAAATGAGCTTCAACGAGAACTTGTCATCCGCAGAACTTTATGGAGGTCTAGTGACCCATAATCTATGGAGGCACTAGCTCTGTTCCAATCAATGGAAATTTTTATAGAGGGATTTTGAAGCCAATTTTGATAGGGAGTGTGCCAATAGAATGAAACAGAAAAAAGCAACAAACTTTAATGAGAGCATATTTGACAAAATTCTTCACTTTTTAGTGAGTTATAAAAAAAATTCATAGCATTAATGGATAAATTGATCATATTTTGGCTGCTAGAGAAGAGAGTGAATATGAAACAATTGCAATATTGAAGTCGCAAAAAAGCACTGCACATAGACACGATAAAATACAGTAACTCAACGAAATTTCCACATGGGATGTGAAATTTTCCGAATAAAAATATGTCTTTATCAGTGTAATGTTCCATAAATCTGCTGGCCTTAGCAATGAGCGAAGTAATAGCCTTGATAATCTAAGATAATGTAGTTCACAATCCTTGTGGCAATATTAACGCGCGTATAACTTCACACCCCAAAACGAGGCCGACGACAATATGTGAAAGGAAAATTCCGTGCAACTTATTTGCAACATCTCCGAAAGTGCTCTTGGCTTCATTGAAATCATAAAATTTTGGTTCATTGGAATTCTAGAAAGTTTACTTCTTTGAAATTTTTCCTGACATTATGGGTTAGATTAGATTATCACAATTTTTTCTTGCAAAACTATGTGAATTGCTCATACATATAAGCTTTACCTCATCAGAGAATTTCTGTGATTCTAAAATTGATTTAAAAGCAGCAGAAGAACGTTGCGTACAAACTTGTGCTTTCATTCTCGCAATTTTTTTCTAATTTTCTCGAATTATCTCTTTTCTGTGGGTCGCAGGCCCAGCGCTTTAGCGAGCTAAGTGGGATGTTCTAGCAGGTAGGATTCCGTATATCGTTAGGTACCCGCTGTTGAAGAACCAAGGGGCGTGGCTTAGTGTATATACCTAATGGCTGGGTACCTAACGCCCGCACCTCGGCTGGGTATCTAACGCCACGCACCCCACGGACTGTAGCTGGAGGTATGAAAGTGGGTACAACACGTCGTGGTAAAAACATTGGGATCTACTGAGCTTGACAGAGGAAGTTTTCGGCGTCTTGACAGAGGAAGTTTTCGGCGTCTTCGTTTGAATGATTATTTCATCTATTTCATCAGAAAATAAATCAAAATCTCAGGTCAGAATATGAACAAAAGACCGAATAACGTTGAACTCTTGGCCACAGCACACAACAGTATCATGAAAGAATATGGAATATAGCTGAAAAGACCTAATTTCCTCACTTTTTGATATTTCCAATCACAAGCTCTATAGCTCATTATGCTATTCAACAGATTACAAGTTTTTATGAGCAGGCAAAGGCAAATCACTGGCTTCTACTTTCTCTTATTATTTCTTTTTATACTATTCTGAGAATTCCTTTGATTTTCAAACTAGTGGACTCGTCAGAAGACTAAATTTCCCCTTTACATGTGTCGTAAAGTCGAGATAGACTCCTCCTTCCGCGCATTTCGTTTAGATCTTCAGAAATAAAAACAAAAATTTGATCGTTGTACAGTCGCAAATTTTCCTTACTCCAAATCTTTGACTGCTTGGGACAAATCACTTTTCCGATGGCCTTGCAGCTGCTGTTTTCAAAAGAGACGAGTATGCCAACCACATTCTCACCTTTGAAGAAAAAGAGAGTTTCCAGTAGAATCTATTTAGTTGCCATTTAAAACCAAAAAAAGCGGAAGCAATAGTCAAAGATGTAGTTTAGTCTCAAACTTCAGCCACGTAGGAAACCTTTCCAGTGGGGCATTACCATTGCCTTTGGCACCGATCTGGTTTCTGGAAGCCTACTCCAAAACTCATTCAAAACAGTCCAAAAACAGTGGCATTGCGCATCTGCACTACAATCAAACAACCGTTCGTACTGGCACATTCATCTTAAGAAATGGTTGTAATGTACCAGTTCGATGCCAGTAGCTCATCTTAGCATACGTAGATTCAATATATGCACTCCAATCTCAGGACCATTTATTTTCAAATTGTCATTATTTTTGAGCGTTGAAGGATAGCAGCAAACAAAGCACTTATCTTCGCGCAACAATGTTCTTTTTGGTCTCGAGAGTACTGTAAAAGTGATGCGTTTTCCCAGCGGAATAATTGAAACTCACCTTTTTCTTACCTGAGCTAGCATTTTTCGTTCAAAACCATCTACGAATTATGTAGGGCTGGCCAACCTTTAAATGCTCTCAATCTAAAGAGGAAGAACATACCATATACTCTTTTTTCGGTTCCTTCTCTGAGGTCTTCTATGGGGCGGAGGCGCAAGACCGATGGACCACACGCGCGCTGCGTATGCGTACGACCTCTCAAATAAATTTGCTGTTGCGCCTTCGTCCGGAGTAGGCTCTATAAACTTCAAAGGACGGCCATTACAGCCAAATCAAAAAAAAAACAAAACTTCAATAGGGTTCAGTAATACGATTTCGGCCAAGGCACCAAGTTCTAGTAATTCCCGCCTACAACCATCTGAAAACAATTCGCGGCTAGTAGCTTCCTACACCAAGGAGCGGCGGCTTATGGGAATTTGCGCCCAGAAGCGCCATATCCTTTTCATCGGCGAGTGAGCGCGCGCCTCCTTCATACAAATTTTTAATAAGCCTTGAAGTCAGATTAGTCAAAAGACACTCTGCGATGCTGAAGACAAATGAAAGTTGACCAAAAAAATTCTTCTGCGGAATAACCGCCTATAGTCCGCGACAAGCGCTCGCTCATATTTGTGTTCGAGGCACCAGTTAGGTTCGTAGCCTGAACAGCTGAGTAAAGCAAGTGCCCTGATGTATGCAATCGCACATTTCCTCAGGTGTTGACGAAGGAGTGAGATTTCCTCAAATAGCAAGTGCGCACCTGTTTATGAGCGTTTGTTTCTGTAGTCAGAAATTTATGGACATTACTCTACCTATCGTCCCATGCCCGTGAAGCTTATGAATGAGAGGCATCAAGCAGACCGGATCTCGTATGATTTGGAAGGCAGATTTGGAAAAGAAGGAAAGAAATAATGCTATCTCGAGGACCTGAACGCAGAGTCAGCACCGACACATGTGCTCCGCTGAAACGTGCGGCGCGTGTGCGCTAGCGGTCGTGCGGTTATATCAAGTGTAGCCACGCGTTCTATTTCTTCTTCGCTTTTCTTCGCATCTATTGCCCGTCATTACCATTTCCGAGAAAGAAACAAGCAAGCATGTGAAACGTTTATCCTCTCATTTCAGTTATGAATGCACTCAAGACTTTGTTTTCTTTTCCGTCCTACGCAGCTCGCATGAGCGCGAAACTCGTTGTCTACCCGTGAAGATCTTTTCAGAGTCTCCAACTGGCAAGATGAACAACGATTTCGACAGAAGAGAAAGAACGGTGTTCGTATCCATGATACACAAATCGATTAACGATGACAGACTGTATGACTTGATGAGCAAGGCACGTTAGTGAATGTTATACTTTATGGCTTCATAATGCATCTATAGAGTTATCTGTTACAGGCAGGACCGATTGAAAAAGTGATCTTCAAGGAGAATCCGGATGGCACTTTGCTGCACGCGCTCGTGATTTTCAGGAACATACAATCTGTTGTCTTCTCCATGCTGCATTTGCAACCTTTGATGGGCAACTCAAAACTGGTTCAGATTCGTCCATTACGGTACGTGTATAGACTATTTATTGCACCAGAGGCGAGCGACCCTGCAGACACTGCGCTCTCAGATCGAACGCTCTCTTATGTCTCTGACCGTCTGCTTCCTCCGAAGCGAAGTGTCCTAAGTCGGTCGCGCAGTGGCGTTCAGTCTCTGCGTGCAATGAATGGCCTACAGCACTATTGCTGTTTGGTGTTTTCTATTCAGAAAACCCAGAATGCCCAAAAAGTATTCAAGTAGGCCTTAGTTGGGGATGAATAATTGCTTATATGAATTAGGCTGACTAGTCCAGGGTTACTGTGATGGAGAGTAATTTTCTACTAGCTGCATCGAGACTGAGGCGCCGGCCAGTTTTCGCTCAAAAGCGGCCAAAAGCGCCCAAATTTCTCTAATCTTTGTTCACTTTCTCTCATTTCTCCTCAGACGAGAAAGTGAAAAAACATTAGAGAAATCTGGGCGCTTTTGAGCGTTTTTAGGCGCTTTTAGGCGCTCTTGAGCGAAGTCTGGCCGGGGCCGGAGGTGCAATAGCCGGCTGGTTGCTGTACTATGTTGTGGATGAGGAAAAGAGATCAGCAGCGGTTGGTGAAAATCTCCTACAAGTTTTACTTAGGTGCGTTACGGCTATTTTGGACCGTACCAGTAGCTGTGCGAGCGCTACTGATAGCTATGAAATTCAGTTCTTGTCCAGTGTCAAATCGGTTAGCCGGCTTGGATGTCTAGCAGGAACTGGCTCATTATAAGATGCGCATATGTGAAGACGGCTGCACCATGCTGCATTTTGCTTGCTTGACTTTAACCACATTATATGGGTCGCACTGTGCCATGTAATGTGTGTAGGTTGAAACATTTTTGACTGATTTTTTTCAATCACTCATTTCCAATCTCGTGTAGCACAGGCAACACACCTCCTCAGATTCTTTGTGATTTGATAGGCGTGGCATAATTTATCTTTGGAAACCGATGTAGGGCAGTTTTCATACTCGTGGAATACTGTCTCATGTGTGCCTAACACGAGGTAGAGTAACAAGCACCCCAATTAGGCACCTCCTCTGTTGATCCTTTCATCCTAATGTTGTGCATCGTGATAGGACCAGTAGTTCACGGAAGTGGTGTTTAGTTGAGTGTTCATACCTGCACCCCGCAACACGCTGAGACACGATGCTGTCCACTACAAAACTTGTATTATGGAACTGGTATATATACAATATCTTTTATTACTCACCATGTTTTTCAGCGAGAGCTCACATCGCACTTCTCCGTGGTGCTACTCCCATCTCAGCAGAAAGGAGTTATCGAAAGATGGAGCCTTCCAGCAGAACAAAGACCAGCCAAAATCAGCCTTGAATGCTGGACGTGATTGCTGTGCTGCAAATATGATAGACCTGCATTTGAACTCCTCACTGAAGTCTGCTCAGGGGTAAATTTTATCTCACCGCGTCTATGTACTTGTCAAAGCTTTTACTTTCAGTGATCAATTTTTGATGTTCCTTTGCATAGGTCCCTTAAATGTAGCGATAAGAGTGATTTCTAGCTTTTTAGCGAGCCGTATCCTATCATCACCAGTGGTCGTGGAACTCCTTCTCTACACCCTCCATCTGTACACAATCCCATGGTGCAGAGTACAGGTTCGCGGCAGAAGCGTTTTACCTTGTTTTCTTTTTAACTTTGAGAAATTCCATTTTTTGACAGTCTCCTCTATAAAGTAGCTTTATGAATTCTATGAGCTGGGCCGTGCAGATGCAGTCTTACAAAGGAAGGTTTGTTGGTCGAAATGGCCTTTCAAGAGATGCATATACCATCCTCAAGGGCATGGAACGCTAATTTAGTTCTGTCTACCTTATAGAGGAAGAATTCTGGACGAAGAGTTAGGAGCTTTATTGAAGCAAATTTGAGGAGTAGGACAAACGATTTCCAACATTTTCCTAGCGCTCAAATGTAGCAGTGGTAATCATCTGGGTACTCTAGACAAAATAATATTCCGAATAATATAGGCGCACTTTGCTGCAAGTGCCTAGGAAGATTTTAACAGCTACTTTTTGCTTACTTGCGCACTAGAATTCTCGCATCATTGCTAGTAGTTCCTGGTCCGGCGCTCCGCGGATAAGAACAAAGATTTGGAACCATCTCATGTGCTCTTTAAAATGACATACATCCCATATTGGAAGGCCTTCGACCCAACTTCCCTTGTCACCTCCCTTAGTTTTGTATCAGTCCGGCGAAGCTTTCTTCGAACGTACGAAGATAATTCAGCCCTCCAATCTGCAGTCTTTCAAGTTGTGGAGCGCCCTTTACTAATTTCTGGGCCTTGTGGTTGGCAGGCATAAACAATAATTGCTCTTCGATAAGTTTCACTCCGGGTCCATCCCTCTGATCTTTAGTTTCCTAATTAGTTTCTTATTGGAGAAGGGGGAACGTCCATGAGTTGCCGTAACGGTTGCCGAGGTTGCTGGGGTTGTTGTGGGTCCCTTCATACTACGCCGCTGGACGCAGCAACACGCGCTTTCTGCGGCGTATTATGAAGTCGCAGTGAAAATATACATCTCTCGCAGTAAGAAACACTCTCGGAGAACACGAACGTGCAGCAAATATAGAGATACATCCATAACCGACGAAGCTGTGCTGCCGTATATTTTCACCGCGACTGCAGCGGCGCACGCCGCAAGACGCGGCGTGTTGCCGAAGTTGCTGGGGTTGCCAAGGTTGCTGGTCGTTGCAGGACTTCAAGATAGCCTCCACGTTTCGCGCGCTCTTTAAGCTGTCTCTGACCCCGGCAACACCGGCAACCCTAACAACATCGGCAACCCTTAAAGGAGTTGTGCGGCATCTCTTCTCTTCATTTCAGCGCAGGCATCTACTAATTCTTCTCCTCCAGTCGCAACTCGCTTTTATCGCAACTTTTGATATGATGACTCAAAGTATGTGAATTCGACTATAACCATGTTTAAGAGTATAAGTTTCTGATGATGGAATACCACTTGTTTCTTGTTTGTTAAAGCTTCTTGTGAATTTTGATAATTTTATATGAAGACTGTCATATGTGAATTGATAAGTTTCGTTCCGTTTGATGTTTTACCTAGCTCACTTTTTGTGCAGCTTCTTCGCAAATCTCTGTTTTATCATCCTGGTGTGCGGGCCTCATTGAGCGCCAACATCGGTATAATGGTTCAATTTCTGCATTTCCGTTCCTCACATGGACGCTGACGTTATGTCTCATGTCGTAACCAACCCTCTGTATCATCATTGTGTTTAACTGATAAACATGTACAAGGAGATGATAATACTGCATCGTTTGCCGATAAGTAGGGATGCTGAACATAATTCTTAGCGCTTAAGCGTTCCATCGCTGATCGGAATTTTATCTCGGAATGTTGATCGATAAATGAGTGTTCTCAAATAGCTATCACATTTTGTTATACATAATAAGCGACTAAGAGGCACACCAGAAACCTTTGTTTCAATTTTTGCCTTGCCGGCAAAATCTGGCTCTGAGGAAGAGATTGACTGCCGGGGTTTGTGATTTGTTGAATACATACCGAGAAGTTCACTCGAAGTATGCTCATAATTTATGTGGTCACTTTCCTGCAACGCAGGGAATGGTGCCACATCTAACGCTTTTGTAGCAAAAAAAAGCCGGCTACGGTCTTACATTTGACATTGTTTTGTCATATTCATAAAGAAATGATTACAACCTATTGCTGTTCAAGTTCATAGTTAGCTCTTTGAGTTGGTAATACTTTTTCCAACACTATCTGTTACGAGGCGTGAAACTAAAGATTTATTCTCATTTCTGCTTAGAAGATAACAATCTATACTGTACATATATCTATTGCACATATCAATCGTATTCGTTGTTGCCAGCGGTGGCACTGTTAGTGAATTGCTGAGCTTGAATCAAGCAACAGTCTTGATAAGGGGACTCGTAGTAGCTCCATTCGCACGGTCTCTTCGAATATGTCGTCTGGTCGGGAATCTCCGTAAGAGGTAATTGTTGGCTACGGCCGAAACTTGCGCTAAAATAACTTGCTATAGAAAGCTGTAACAAGAAAGCCTTCGGATACATTTTCAAGCTGGTAAGATAAAATGAAAAAGGATAGAGGATACTTCCAGGTGTATGGATGATAAATTAAAAAAAGGTTAGGATGTGAATGCATGCTTTTGGAAGGATCACTGGCCTGTTGAAAACTTACTTAAACGAGTATATTGCTAGTGTCTCTGAAATCATTAAGGTAACGAGTATGTCATTTTCACGGCACCAGATTGCGTAAAGGCAATGCAGATCAATTTCTAGAATCATTTTGGCTTGGTAGGGAAGAAATACAGCAAGTAATGTGGACAGCATTAGACTGATGCGACAAGCTTTATGAATGGCTCTCAAGTATCTAGAAAATCTAGGCTTCACTGAAGTTCAAATTTCGAAGCTAAATAATCCTGAACCGGATCTTCTCCCCAAGGGATTCTACAATTTTTCTGCGCCAAAAGATATGTACTGGAGACATACTATCAGTTGTAATAATTGTGTCGTATCTTTGAAAGGTTGAAGAAAAAAGCTAAGAACATGGGAAACATTTTACTTCTCGCAGTATGATTGCAGTCACGTATTCTAGACTTTGAAAGCTTAACCAATGAAATCAAAGCTTTTGCATGTTTTAGGATTGCCTTCAGATCAAAAAAAAAATTTTCTCTTCAATTTGAATGCGAGTTTCTTCAATGCGAGGGATGGGTTCTGGATTCAGTCAATAAACATTTCCGTTTGGTGACTCTTTCTTCTTAAAGCATGAGGAAGATTTGCTTGCTTATTTGACTGACAGTGAGTTATCAATGTGACAAAATTTTGTCTAAATTTGGGCAAGGAGTACCCTAATTTCACGCGTATAAGGCGCACTTTTTCGATTTTTCAAGAGAGCCGCTCAGCCGCTTCACTGTATTCCGGAAAGAGACCTTTATACCACACGATTCTCTTAAGCAATATACAGCACGTTATAGGGTTTCTTGGTAGTAAAGTCTCTTGGCGTGTCTGGGCTGGTCGATTTTGGAAAAAAAGTCCCCCGCGCCTTATACGCGTGAAATTAGGGTACATAATTTAAGAGAACCTATTTAACAAATTTTGCAAGGCAGGCATTATTATATGTGCTTCGAGTTGCGAACTTTGGACTGACTAAGACGGTCACTTTCAATGATGATGCAAAATGTAGTTCTTTAGATACATCATTTCCTCCTCTTTTTTCTTCGAAGACAAATCGAATATTTATTGCGTTTTTCAAACAATATAGCCAACCAACGAACAAACCTTGATGAATCTGCTCCTCTTCTATGGCTCTTTGCTGTGCTGTTGCAAACTTTTCAACAATCATCGAGATTGGAAAAGCGAGTACAATTATACCACATATGGATGTCGCTGTCGCTACCATTTTCCCAACTGGAATCATTTTGTTATCGGCATGAGCTGAAGCCTCACTCCAACGGTATGAGGTAAACTGTCACTTACATGCAGTCACTGGTTTTGCATCACCATAACCCACTGTTGCCATCGTAACTCTGAAATGATATAAGCTTTTAAGGCTTAGAAACCGCGAGTCTTGAGCTTTGCGTCCTATATTCAAAACTGTGCTTTTTATACTTATTACACATCAGGTATGAGCTTTTTCTCATCAGAGTACAAATACAAAACTATTGACATCCCACGTCCATTGTTTGAGACCAAGCAAGCATGCCTACATTCCCCAGCACCCATATAAGCTGCCAGTCTAAGCTCTATAAGGATGTGAAGTTCTGAGAAAGAATGTAGACTTAGACCCAGCTTTTGAGATAATCAAGACGTCAATGTTACCAGGAATACTTTGAACGAAGTTTGAAAATGCGTAGCTCATGTCAACCATCTTTTCGATTTATTGTATGCGGGACCGAGAAAAGTGCATTAGCTTAACAGAAAAGCTTCGTACATGGATAGATGTCTAGTCTCTTTGACTAGTTATCTTCAGAATTCTAATTGAATTAATTTTCTGTAGATCCTCGCAACGTAAAGTTAGCTAAACTTTTGTTCAACATTTTTTCTTCGGATTATCATCACTGAAGAGCTTTACTCTAATTATGGGACTTCAGGAAAGAAAAAAACGAAATGGCTCTTGTAAAATTTCGTTGGGTTAGCCATTGAAATACAGAATTGGCCGAGATTCTTACTTTCTTACAATGTTTCGCAGAAAAAAGTCATATGGTAATTTGTTAAACGATTGTTCTTGTTCACGTTGATGAAAAATCAAAGGACACCGACGCTTGCAGCAATCAGTGTGTTATTTTCAAAGTGAATTTTATTGCAGTAACTGTTCTGCTTTGAGTACTTTTCTCTTTAGATTGAAAAATTTACTCACACACACCACCAGCATGCTGCTGGTATGGAGTAAAAGTCGGAATGAGGTTCGTCCTTTTCCAAATAATACATAATGGTGGAGAAGAATATTATACCCGTCAATAGGAACATGCTCAACATACTCAGCTCTGTTATAGATGACTTCAGCGTTTGTCCAAATGTCTGTAATGGTTTTTTTAGCAATTCGTCTTGATTTGATGAAAGATAACCTGCAGACTGCTGCTATATCGGGCAAGCTTGAAAACTCGTGCCATTCTGAGAACACGTAGTACGCGAACGACCAGCATTGCTCCTAAAATCCAAAGTTTTTCGAAATCAGTAAACTCTACGGAAATCGTGCTTAGACAACATAAGACAGATCTGTTAAACACAGAAGGTCAACAGACAGATAGAACACGAAATGTCAATTACCTATCCACGTTTGGGCACCTCTCGTCAGCTCCTCGCCTGGAATCACTGAAGTGAAAACAGACAAAGCACATCACGGTAAGATAAGGAGAAGGATTTAGAGGTGAAGCTAAGTTTGATAAAAATGAAGTGGAGACGTGTCGTTTGGAGCTTCTTGTGTTCCTTGTTGTGAAACTGAACTTGTGCGAAGGAGCTTCAAAAGATATTTGAGTGAATTCTATTACTACGTATGACAGTGGGGGAAATTGACGTGTGGGTATGGTACTATTTACTATTTACACTACTTGTGCTGAAAAACATACGGAAGGAAGAGGGGAAGACAAGATGAGAAAATTTTTCATTTCTCAAACTAATTTGCATATCTGCGGAGAATTTCCGGTTTGGATGTTTTTTATCAGATTGTAAACTCGCAGGTATCTACTTATAGATTTTTGCTTTATGCATTACTAAAATCGCTGAGGAATTGCAAAGATTATAATCTCTTTCGCATCTACGTGAGGGTTTTTTGGAGAATTTCCGGTTTGGTTTTTTATCAAGTTTGAACTTGCAGGTGCTTATAGATTTTCTCTATGTATTGCTAAAATTCGCGTAACTTCTTCTCTCCAAAAATTGAGAAATTGAAAATTTCGACGCATCTTGCTCTAGCACGATAGCATTGAAAGCGCGGTTGATTACTGCGTATTGAGGAAAATGTTCTCGGCTTTCAGTATGAAACCATCTTTTCAGATTTACAAAGGGAGTTCGACAAGCACTTCATGCTCGATTGAGGAAAAGGGAGATCAGAAATGACGAAGGTGACAAGTGAAGAAGTATCACATAATATTCATGCAAAGACTAATCCGGCACATTCGAATCTCACCTGTCAATTCTTTGAAGTGAGAATGAACTCCAACTAAAGGTAAGCCCAATTCCAAATAGAATGGCAGTATCGTGAGCATATCAATAATGTTCAGGGTTTTCGTGATGAATTCACCTCTTCTCGGGTAGATTACCAACCTAGACAGATTCACTGTAGAGGTTTTCCCTAGAAATTTTCAAGGCGATACCTGATGAAGTACTCGAAGGTGAACCACCCTATGCAGATGTATTCCAGCACAACAAGGGCAAATGTTGGATTGTCAGTCGGTTTGTAGACAAAGTCAGGAAACTCCTCACTTCGACCGACTGATGCACCAAATTTGTTGAGTTTCTCGCTCTGAATGAGGAAATGTTAGTTTGGTAAGCAAGTTTTCGGACAAAATCTATTCTTGGGATCTAGTTCATGTACACAAGTGAGAACCTGTAGCCGTACCCTCGCACACATATAGCTAACATCTGAGCAAGTGGGAGGAAACTAGGACCGATGGGGGCGGAATTTGCCACTTTTCAGTCATCTCGTTTCTCTTGTTAATTGGGCGATTCATACAAATTGTGTATGTTATATAAGTAAGTGTGTATTATAGATTGGAGCATATGGGAATGTCGCGACGTTTATGGAAGTGAGAGATACGGGGAAGATCAAAATTCTATTTTTCCAAATCTCGCCTGCAGTTTTGCATCTACAAGCAAGAGACTTTGACTGTCCGTTTCACCACTACCCATATTGTCAAAATTCAGATACTGCATTGTCAGACCTCATACTTTCGCAGATGAGCGTGATGCAGCTAACAATGTTTCTGCTACTCTCAGTAATGACCATCCCTTGCTTTCGCTACAGATATTACCACTACTATAATATATTGGATTACAGCTTTTCTCAGTAACAATGACTTCTCGACATTTCCCTTATAATGAAACAACAGCTGTCTACAAAAACCCATTAGCGAATCTATTTGTGTCATTTTGTACAAGAGACAATAAAAGTCCATTAGTTGACTTTCAAGGATTAAATGCGTTGCCATGAACTGAGGAGAGCCAGTAAATTTTCGAGCAAAATTTTGCAAACCTCGCTTGTTTTGACGTGCATATAGTGGTAGGCCGATGCATTGCTGGCATCCTCTTGAAATTCAGGCATTGATCCCAAAATCAAACCTAAACAATACCGTACATAATTAAACAATTCCAAACTTGATTTTGTTTTTGCCCACCAAACACGCTAGCGAATACGAAAAGCACGGAAAGTACGGCGAATACTGCCGCAGGGACCGAAGATTGTGGATCTTCTAGAAACCGCCACGTGGAGAGGCGAAAAGAGTATAGGTAAGCCTAGAAGGTCGTGTCAAGATAAATACTGAAAACGGCTGAGGTTTCTTACCCCGTCGAATTCCGTCTCGTATTCATCGAGACTAGACGCTGGTTGCAGATGCGATCTTGTTGTAGATGGATGTCGAGGCAAAGCGCAGCATTTAGATAACTGAAAATTTTACATGAAGTTGAACGAGAGAGAAATTTCTTTGTATTTCATCAAATTATTTATTGAAACGGTATCAATACTGTTTTAGGTATCAATACAGGGTGTCCTAAAAGATGTGCCTACTGTTCGATTGTTATTAATACTCTTAACTTGTCGTGAAATCCTCGAAAATATCTAGGCATTGTTTTTTAGTGCTGGCTTCCGCTTGGATTTACAGCATGGAGCGGACCGATTTCTCGTCATTACTGTAGGATTACGGTAAGAACTAGTAGCATATGGCGCCACTCTGAGATAGGCCATTCGAAAAAAAATCGGTTCTTATGGTATGTTTGGCATAACTTTTGAGAAAAGCGCTGCGGTGGAGTGCGAGTTTCATATTCAACAGCTTTAACCTAATTAACCTAATTTAGGAGTTTTCAGCCTCTTTAGTCCTTTTATAGGGGTAAAATATGACTCTTAGGTTTCGGACAGAGTTCACGCGATTTGATCGTCGCGATTCAATCGCTACAAGACAACTTTACGAGTTTAATGCATGCCGACCAGCTTGCATTTCGGTTGTGATACTTTTCCAGCCCGAAATTTTTGAATGTAAAATGAAAATGAATGAAAATCGCGGCGACTGAATCGCGACGACCACATCGCGTGAACTCTGTCCGAGCTTCAATGACGCAAAATCCCCCACAAGGTTCCTACCGTGATCCTACAGTAATGAAGAGGAAACGTTGATATGCTTCATACTACAAATCTAAGTTAGAGGCCTCTGCAAAATGGCACTTTAAACGACTTCATGACAAAAGAGCTGTTGACATTCAAACAGTAGGTATATTTTTAGGACATTGTATTTTGGCCATCTCAATATATTGTCAATCAAAAGTTCTTAAAATTATGTAGCATTGATAAACTCTTATATCCATATACCACCTACGAGTGATCTCATTCTCATTGTCTTTGCAAAGATTATGTTCTGCGAAAGTCTACGAAATTTTTGTTGGAAGTTGTTCTATCTTTTGTCTTTTGTTTTGCGGATATTAGCGAACCCCGACATGGAAATGCAACCATAGTAAGTTCACAATGAGCTCTGCTTTTTCTAAGTCACAATCAAAAAGGACAAAGAGGCCATTTTTTTATTCCTCTGCTGTTGCATACCGTTTGTTCAAAGACTTCCTACCTTCATGGTCTTTATCATATTTCTCAAAGTGAGTGAGGGAGAAATACCACAGGAAATCCTAGCTATTATGCGAATCATCTGTCTTCACGAATGCATGTTTACACCAGAACTTTACTCATAATATCACTCTATATCAATATCAGAAATTCTTTGTGTAAAAATACCAGAGGAATTCGAATAGCAAAAGATACAAGCAAAATATTTTTTGACTCATCATTGTATATGGAATCTCCGCCTTACATGAATTCAAGCAAATTGTTTCACCTGCTATTTTGATGTGTTCACAGCTGCTTATACCAAAATAAGTTTGCGTAATTTGCAGTTTCCTATTTTATCTCTTTAATCAAGCAATGAACCTCCAAAGCTTACAATATCTTGCCTAGAGAGAAGGAGCCTTGTCATTTTTTTATCCGTATACCATATGATTGTAAAAGAACAAAGGTGTGCTTGCTTGTTCGGGTTACAATCAGTTTTTCCAGATGTAAAGGTAATAGCATCATGTTCTCAAATGCATCTTTTTTATGCTGCTTTATTTTTCAACTTTTGTAGGTCTTGGATGATGAGAATCAATAAACAGTTGTCTACTGAGGTGACGGCACCCGTACTGCTGCCAACATTAATGCTTTTTTTGTGGACATCAATGGTATTTAAAAGACTGTACAGCCACTTCAATGTTGCTTTCCTCATTTTTGAAAGCACCTCTCAGATGTGGCTTCAAAAATTGAGCAGCGAGCTTTGCGTCAAATCAAATTTGAGATGAACAATTGAGTAGAGCGAGGCTTTCTGGTTCAGAGATCAGCATCGGTGGCTCAGAAAGGCTTACTGCTGAAGCGTCATAGGAAAAGGAAGTGTCAGGAATGATTGTGACGTAGTCGCAACGGCTCAAGCGACCTTATACATAAGAAGATTTGGAACTTACGTGATCAGGGTTGATACGCCAATATGCCAACTCTTCTTTGAATTTCTCGATGCACATATTTTGCGGCTTGTGCAGGCTACCTGAACCAGGAGGATGCATCTGTTACAATCAAAACAAAGACGTATCTATAATACTTCGGCAATTTCAAGGGAAATAAAGCAAAAAAATTGCTGAAGAATTTCATTTGATGCTCAAAAGGCAGTTAGATATCACCTGTAGTGAAGAAATCCACGATGTGATCTGCAATCCTAGAATTTCGTTCCAAGTAATATTCCCCAGTTATGGGATCACACCCGTCCACAAGGGCCATTCTGCAACGAATTTCAATTACATATGTTCATTCTTGAGAGCGGTCTCAATCAGGATATGAAACGCGAAAATCGACAAGCGGCTGCGTACGTAGCCTAAATTTTGCGTAGAAAAGATTGGAAGATTTGCGCAGTTACTTCATACGAAAATTGTCAAAAGTTAGTTATTGTTTTTGTGTCAGTATTGTACTACTTTCAACAAGAGATGGCTACAGTGTGGGTTGGCTACATAGATTTGAGCCGAAAGAGTCACTCAACAAGGCTAAATGGAGCGAGTATTTTTGAAAATTTTATAGAGTGCCAATTGCTTTATAACAGCATCGAAAATTCGTAAAGCAGACCTTTGTTCATGTGTCGACTCAACAATGTCATGCATCAACGTGCGCTCTTCGGTGTAGAGTTCTTTTCGAATGTAGTACGATTTTCCTCCTATATTGAGACGAAGATAGGAGTCGCTGTCGTCTGCGGGAGCATCTAAATAGTACGTGCTATTAGTTGCATTATTATCTATTGTTTATTTATCTTCATTCTTGAGTTCATTGTGTTAGATAAATGTGTGCAATCGCTTAGGACGCATTTATGATGTCATAGTAAGTGTAATATGTATTTATGTGTTTAATCCAGTAAGGAGTAAAGAACCACATATTCAGAGCTGTGCTTTTGTAGATTTTTGTCAGAGAATTCAGTGGTTGTAACTCATGGACAACAAAATTGTCGCATGCCTCTATTCGCCCTCTGGTGCAAGGACCACCGCAGCAAAGTGCAAGAAAATGCAAGAGGTCAGCTAAAGCTTCCATAAATTCAAATCCAATTCGGCGCTCTTCAAAGGACGCTATGATATGCAACTATGATGAACTTCTGCACAGCAATTGTGCACATTTCAGAATGCAAGAAATGGTCCCTACCACGAAAGCTGGAACAAGCTCTAAAACGTACCGTCCTTGCGCTCCTTGATTTTTTCGTAGCGATTTGTTTCTCGGATCGAACGGGCATGTTTGGAGTGCATCTTCGTCAGAGCATCCGGTGCTGCATGTTTCTGAATAGGATAATTCATTGTGAACCACAAAAATAGGTATGTTGTTCAAGCTACTGCTTCTCGTGTACTCTGGTATTAGTGTTATATTTTGTTACCACGACCTCAGCGCTATGGTTCTGGTACGTCTCAGAACCATAGCCCTTCGTTTCTATGCGCTGCGCTCTGCGAAATTATTTTCCAATTTTTTCAATAGTTGAGTACTTATCTTTTTGAACCTCGAAATGATTGCAAAGCAACGTAAAACATATGCGCTTGATTCTTTTCATCAGTCGTTCGAATGAAATTAGCATTATAGAAAAAAACGATATCCGAGTAACGGTCACTTAGGTCTAGAAATGGATATTTGCAATGTCTTCGCTTTCACTGCAAATCTCTCTTTCTTGCTAGTGCTCTCGTACTTATATAAAAGCATAGGAAATGCAATAATCATAATAAGTTTCTCAGAGGTGTTATCTCTGATGTCATCTGGTAATTAATTGAATGCATTGCTAAAGGGTGATGCTAATGCAACTTGCAGGCTAGTGAAAGAGGGGTGCTGTAAAAGGGAACTTTTAGAGCGGAAACTGCGACCATAGATTCCAAGCTTAGGCGATGATAGTTCACAAGATCCTTTGCACGACATTTGCTCTGATGTACGTAGAACTCGCAGGAAAATCGGAAAATGACATCTACTTTGCATAGCAGTATTACTGCCGAAAATCACGATCTTTGAAAATAAATATATTCAGGTTAGTATGATTAATCTTTGTTGTTTCAACAGTAAAAGGGAGCGTCAAACTAATGCTTCCTAATAATAGGTACATAATTTCTGGACATTTTTTGCTGCGTCATCATTTTTTTTGAGAAGTTGCTCAAATCAAGTATGGGAAATATTGCGGTTTTTGCTGATTACGATCAAAGAGGAAGGAATGGCAGCAAAGCTATGTTGTCGAGGTTGAATGCTAGCAAGCTTTGAGGTGCGATGTCGTCGAATCCGCGCGATCTTATTTAGTCGTGGGGACGACGACAGGATATTTGATGAGGAACGGCACTGCTCCCCGTAATCAAAGTTACCGAGAGCTTTCAGAAAGAATTGTGCGCGTGTGACTCCCTGAAATGCGCCAAAGTTCAGTCGGAGCAGAGCTGCTTTGATAGGGGACTATAGCTAGAAAATTGTCCTTGGACTGACGAAAACTCAACATTCGAAGCAGAGAATTAATGAAACGCCTATATAGCAGCTGATGAAACTAAATCACATATACCACTATAAAGCACATGGCTAAGCTCACCATAAGTTCCCGCCTGATTAAAAATTTCCTGTAAATTATGTAGATATTTATTTAAAGTTATATAGAGTGTCCCATAAAGATGTGCCTCTTGCTTGGTTGATAATAACTCTCTCTCTCTTGTAATGAAGTCTTTCGAGAAGCTTTAGATAGTGTAAAGTAAAGCTAATATGAAGCGAAATGAGATCTATTCCATTACTTTAGGAGCGCGATAGGAACTTGCAGCATATGTCGTCACTGTGAGAAGGGCCGTTTGGAAAAAAGTTACAAAAAAATCTTAGAAACTGCAACAATATTTTCATGCATGCTGATTTCAGTACACAAATTTTTGCGCTTTCGTAGAACTTTTTAGATGGCCTAATCAAATTTTTGACGAATAGCAGGAATTGGTTGTTGTGGTATATCTTGCATGACTTTTGAGAAATACGTTACGGTTGAGTTCATGTTTGGGATCAGCGACTCTGATCAACCTAGTGTAGGAGCAACCTAGCGAAATATGATTTGTTGTTGTTTACTAGTCTACACGGGACCCTCCCTAAAGTTCCCACCGTAATCCTACAGTAACAAAGGGAAAATTTTGATTCGCATTATAAGTAAATTCTAGTTGATGCAGGCTGTACAATATAGTACCTAAATTTTTTCGAAAGACTTCATTACAAGAGAGTTATCAACAATCAAACAGTAGGCACATTTTGACACCTTCTATATGCATAAGTAAAGATGTTGCCAGCACGCTAAATAATAAAAAAAGCTGCTTCTGTCGTAGAGTTTGTTGTGCATCAGATAACACGTATTGCTCAAAACCCAATTTTAAGTGGGAAGTTTTCCTTAACTTACTCAGAGATAGAATTTTGTAACAGTTTGTTCCGAGCTCTTGATAGAAGAGTGAGCCTCAGCTATACATTCAATGCAAAAAATGATAACTTTTGCGCAAATCGGCAGCGCTACACATATCTAGGCGGAAACATACCATGAATGAGGCAAAAACCACCACATCGTTGAGTTGTTGCTCTGGATCTTTTCTCTAGAACAGTCTCTTGTTAGGCTTGTTGGTAATACAGTCAAGGATTAAGAGTTTTTTTTTCTGGAATTGTGTTTGTGTCAGTCACGCGAAAGCTACAAAGTCTAGAAATTTTCTCTTAAATCAGGCAACTTCTGGACTCCGCAGCGCTATTCAGCACATGTTGTGAATCTGTCGGAAACCAATCTAAACAGCAATCTAAACAGCTCCTTATTAGCAATATCGGGTTTTATGTAAATGAGTAGAGGAAGACTGCAGCTAGCTCTTACGTATATCGTGCAACATATTAATCTTTCTAAAGTAAAAACTTATCAGGATTCAGCGGCTAGCTATACTTTGCACCTTGCAGATATTCTAAAGTCGTCATGAGATTGAGTATTTTTTTCTGAATTTTTAACAAAGAGAATAAATAGAGAAATCCTTAACCAAAGTCAAAAACGCGATTTTCCTGATTATAAAAGTCTCTCCGCGTGACTACTTTAAAGAGGTAAAAAAAATTTCATGCAAAGTTTTAACCGTGCTTTTGAAGCTAGTAAACCTTAGGGAACGTGCACAATTAACCTAACGCAAATATTAATTCTTCCAATGATGATTCATGAAGGAAACCTTGAAACAATTTATGAGCTACTTTGCAAATTCTACTCAAATACACTGCCTCCCATTAATTCTTAGCTCTCATGATGTACTTTCTGAGAAACGTAGGGCGGCTAATCTGTCATCATCTTATTGATATTCTTAGTATCAGGAAGCACATCTCTTTGGAAGCTGCCAAGGAATATTTGCAAAGCTAAACGATGCAACTTGAACGCGTACTTCGAAAGTATCTGACCAGAGAACAATTCCAACTTAAGGTGGGAAAGTAGAATGGACCACATACCATTAAATGAGCCTTGATAAGCCCATTTCAAATGTACCTTCTATATGGGCAACGCGGTTCTTTGGGAAAAGTTATAGGCGGTCAAAAGTGTGAAATCATTGATATTTTGGTGCACAATGTGCTTTGAAACCTAACCTGGGAGTGCATGACTACGCAAAAAGTAATTCTTCCAAAGATGAGATGAAGTTAAACTTTGAACCAGTTTTTGAGCTACTTTACCGGCTTGAGGTACTGATGTCAAGGGAATGTTGACATTTACTTGAAATACAAATGCTTCTGACAAAATAAGTCTTGAGATTGTGGCTGTGAATTCTTGCCAAAACTAGAGTTTTCAAAGCTTATAACTTTTTACCGCATCGCAGAGAAGGAAGATAGATATTGAATCAGCTCATCAGGGCACATCATATGACTTGCAGTTCATGCTAGTTCAGCACCCTGAGTCGGGATCGTTATTTTGTAAGAAGATCGGCATAAGTAAGTTAATATACATTTCCGCAAATTTGGTTAGCTATCATATTTGTGCAGAAAATAAAACACTCCGTAGGAAATTTCCTAAATTTCCACGTTTTGTCAAGCTTGATGTCACTTTCACTAAACGCGGAAGAAGATCGAAACTCTCGGAGCGTCATCATAGGCTAAGGTAATAATACATTTCGTCTTCGGCGAACACTTGTGGAAGATTTTGTTTCAGTAGCTCAGACAGAGAAGGGTATGGTATACACGAGAGAAAACTTTTCAAGTTACAAACAAATACCAATTCTATTGCGGATGAGTGGTCGATGAGAAAAAAAACTGATGTTTGCAGGGAAAGAGAAACCAAAAAGTATGTAGTAGGTCTTCGAGAAGACTGTCATTATTGATTTGGTGACTAACCAGATCGCTATGGCCTCCATTTTTCACTATATTTATATCTTCACACATTGAAGCAAATGAAAGTTGTAAAAAAGCGAAACATTATAATCTTCCCATAAAAACGTTGTGAGAGGTAAATCTAGCCGTAAGAAAAAGCTCCATATTCAGTAAGAAGTGATGAAAATAAAGGAAATGGATTGCTTACTTGACATGCGGGACATTTCCGGCTCACCTGGGATGCGCAAGTGCGCTTCAGTCGATACGATAACATCGTATCTGTTTCTGAGCCGTGGCAACGAGCTCCTTTGCTGGTCCTCCCGGCCTAGCCAGCTAATCCGTCTATGACGATCCTTACTGTGGTGTTTTCTGCGCTTAAGCACTAGGGATCTCCCTAAGAGTGATGAAATTGCGCTACTGAATAATTATGATGAACGATTGCGATAAATGACGATGAAGTGCGTCCGAGTAGCGATAGCAGCAAAAAATTTGAGCTCTAGATGATGACCATATACGTAGTTATTTGAGATTCCGTAAACTAGAGTAGACTCTATGAAAATAGCTTGATCAACCCAACCCTCTGCCTTTAATGGCAAAAAATATTGCCATACAAAGTTGAGTATATGCGATAGATAGATTGTAAATTCTCTGCAAAAATTTGTGTCAATGGTGATAAAAAATCTTGTATGGGAGAAGCAAAACATTAGAAGTTTTAGTGGAATTCTTTTGCGACAAACGTATTCGGAGCATTTTTTATCCATGAAAAAGAAAAATGAAGAAAGAGGATGTAAACATGAAAGGGAAGCAATACGCACGGCTGAAGCGGTTTATCTGAGCTGCGTCCTCCCCATGAAAGTCTCAGACAGCAATTTTTTGATGTCTGATTCAAAACCGGACTAACTCATATTGATGCGTCGACAATCTGAAACACTTCCGAATAGAAGTTCTATCAAGGTCGCATGGAGTTGACGATATTCTAAAGTTACCTGATGCTAGATCTAGTCAGCAACTTTCGTTTTGCCTTGATTCGATGATGACGGGTGTAATATGTATGTATCAGTGGCGGACCTAGGCTCAACCCCCCTCCCTCCTGAGAATGGTTTGCGAAATTTTTGAAATTTACTTACACGGGTTATAAAAATGTGCAAGTGACTTGTTTAATCTTGTAAAAACTTAAAGTAATTTCAGAATTTTTCAAAAAATAATTGGCCTTGTAAAAATTTTTTTTCGTGCTTCCTCCATGCCTTTTTTTTAATTTTAGAGGTTATAGGCTCGCAAAAATTCTGAGAGCACCCAAAAATTTTTTGGAGTGCGTCGCTAACACCACAACCTTCATTTGAAAAGATGTCCCCCCCCCCCCTCCCGGACGGAAATCCTACGACCGCCACTGGTACGTACAGTGATAACATATTACACTTTCCGTGGACGCATGACGATGATTATTTGTGTCCACTCAATATGAACGCCTAGTGATCCCTTATAAGCTTTCCACATCGTGCATTTCAATATTCAACAATCTCTTCCGTGTTTCTAATCTTTTCACAGTTCACTGCTCTTCGAATAATACATTACAGTGCAGAATGCGACTTTTAACAACTAGACTTGTAGTCTAAAAGAATTGATGTTAAGCAGCAGCAAGTGCAGTAACTAAAAAATTTCATGTTGGAAAGGAAAGAATATTGCTTTTCATGGCATCATAACGAGACGAATACTAAAAAAAATGACTAGACTATTAGTTAGAGTAAAGCAAGCTCTACAAGGATCAACATATTTGCAGTATTTTTGATACGTGAGTGAACAGAAATTTGAGAGTGTTTGATCTCTTTAAGACTATACTCCGGCCAATAAAAAATGCTACAATTCGTACTTGCTTAGCATGAATAGGCAAGTACAAAGTTTTATTTTACGCATTTGCTGTTTTTTGGCCACACGTCAGGACTCAAACGCTTTGCCGCGCTCACATTTTGTGCCCTACAAAACTCATTGCTTTGTATGCGCTCTAGAAGCGAAAAGTGTCAGATTTAGCACAAGAGAAGGAAAAAACTGGCAAAGTATATTCAACCCACTATGTCTCTTGTGTTCTAGCTTTGGAGTGAACTCAACAGACTGTTTGATTTGCTGAATGTTCACTGGGTTTACAAAGTGAGATCTTTCTATGATTTTAGCGAGATTCTTTCTATAGTTTTAGTTTTAGTTGGAACTACTGAAACACCAAAAACTGAAATTAAAGCTTTTTGGATTTTGGCTTCACACTCACTACGAAGCACAATTTATGCGGATCTTTGACGTCATCTCATTTTTACTTCACAAAGACTATCTTTTTTCTGCATTTTTAGTGTCTACCGTCTCAGTACTAGTACAAAACGGTCTTTGTTTTTTAACCTCATAGAAAGTTGCAGCGAATTACAAACTGGATGTCAGAAAATCACTGAACTGCTTGGAAATCACCATGGGAAAATGTGACAATGGTGGATAGTACGTAATGTAAGCAAGATTTAGAAAAACAGCGACAAAAGGGGATAGCAAAGGATAAAAGTTTTATATGGGCTTCGTCTCATCAAAGAATTTAATCCAACTACGGTGAGATTGTTGAAATAATTTAAAAGACTTTCACGTTCAGAAGACTTGGAGTAGGATTGGTGGTGTTTTTTTGCGAATGTGTGGCACTTGTGTGCATCAAATAAAGCGTGTAATCGGTATTCAAAGGTATACATTTTCTGAAGGAGACAGCTGAAAATTGTAGCTATTACATCCGTATAGCATTTCTGATGGCTATGTTTTTTCTAACCATATATGACGTGACTCAATCAAGCGTCCTCGGCGCTTAACAACCTGCGGTGGCTGGTCACCTCATACTTGGCTAATGGAAATTAGGATAAATCGAGAAGGATGTATTTCCTGACTATAAAATCTGACCAATACTTTCATATGCGAACCGTGTCGTGCAAACCGTGTATGCCGTGTTCTCTTCTCGACAAGAAAAGAGTTACCTCAATAATGAATGCCAAGGAAGCTTATCAAACTTTTACATGAGCTCAATCATGCAATTTGAAAAATTATCGTGCACTGCCGTTCAAGGAACAAAAAGATGACAGCAGCTAAGCCATAATTTTGAGAATTCGAGTTTCAGATATAACGGCTGTAAATAGGAAATCGCTGCTGGGTGGAACCGGAAAATTTTGAAGTCAATTTTCCTGAAATTAGATCCTTATTTGGCATTCATATAAAAGGAAAATGGGCAGTGCATGGGCATCATGCCAAATTCTGAAGCTTACTGAAAGTGACAGTAGCCCTTATTATGCCCAGCACCAAAATCAATGATTTACCAAAGTCAATAAGAAAATTCACATCTTTGTTGAGCAGGCCAAAAAGAGCAGGCATCTACCATAATCAACAATACCTCGTCTCAAATGGACTCTCACAGGAGTTTATTATGAGCATAGAAAGCTCCAAAAAAAAACTAATGAGATTGATGCTGATGTTTTCATTGTATTTCACATCCCCCTAAGATGGCCAATTATGATTCAAGAGAGTATGAACATTATATACCACTTTGACAGTCTCGCCACAACTCCGCATGAATAACCTTGATAGCAGTAGAACTTGAAAACATTTTTTGAGGTTTCTCTATCGAAGAAAAAATGTTTTCCAATTACATCATTATCGCATTTAGCGCAAGCTTCAGCCTAAGATAATTGCGGAGAGGTACAGAAAACTCCTTAGCATTTATATAAAGAACAGAAAGGTATGAGTTTACTTCCATTTTCGTGATTTAGAACATCAAACTGTATCAATGTAAAAAAAGGTTCCACATGAAGAAATGATACATCTTCTCTCAATTGTAAAGAACGTTTCGTCGCCAATCCTTTCGCCTACGCGGACGTCTGTCACAAAGCACGCTTCTCAATGCACTACAGCCCGTACCAGTTGCCCACACCGCGCCGATGGATGTTCTACCTCTCATATCAAGTTTAATAAGAAAAATGAAGCAGGGATTAGAAAATGTGAATAAACGGAACATTCAAGCATCTAATAATATGAAACTTTCAAAAATTCATTGGCCTCGCGTTTGAGTTTCCATTTATACTAAATCGGTTGGGATTAACACAGCTACGTGCATATTCGTAAATCTCTTAAAGTAGCATATTTACTAGGTAATCATCATTGCCAGGCAATACAACATGCGACCTTTTTTCAACGAGATTTGACAAAGGAGATAGAGAAATCAAACCCAGCGTTGTACGTAAAATCAAAAATCTGCTTCAAAAATCCTGACTACAATTCTGGAGCGCTAGGAACTTGAACTTATTTATGTGTCTATCAGTTCAGAGCACTCGTTATTTTGGAACATTTCGTTTGGTGATTATCTCTGTGGATGTATTCAAATACCATAGCCTAGATAATGATCAGAGAGCACGCGCGCGAGAGAGACGCAGACTGCGTAGAGGGCGCGAGCGGCCTCAACTAGGTCACGATGCCCTTCCTTCCAGCCGCCAAGCCAGTTGAATCAAAGCTTGCGTATTGATATTTATGGAATTACCGATAAAGCATATCTGTTCATAAATATTTTGAAAGCTAGAAGGAATTTGGACCTTAAAATGATTAAAAAAGGATAATGAGTGACCTAACTAGAGGATACATAACAAATATATGATCAAGAGTGTAAAGTCAAGCTCAATTTCCAAATGCTACGTTTACTATTCTGATATTGATTTTCAGCACAATTGAAACATGATTAATAAAAGACTAATTGCTCGAAACAGGATACAAATAGAGAGAACATTTGTAACCATGGTGATGTAGCAGTAAGGAAGCTCTAGGTTTCATTTAATGTCACAAAATGGAGCGAAGCCTGTGCACAAAAATGTTAACATTACTTTCACAAAAAGCGGTACCTGTAAGGAAAACCTGTAGTGACATCATTTCTTGATGAAAAAATCAGGGAAAGGAAAGGAAATGTGGCTAATTTTTGAAATAGAATTTGTGCGAAAACAGTGGTGTCTATATGGTTTATGAGCCCAACTTAACTCACCTGCACTCATTCTCGTAATTTCGAGACAGAAATAGAGAGAAAACTATTTCGGATTTGATAATTTTATTATCCCGCATGCAAACTTATTTGTTTTGGCGGCAGCAGCATTAGCAAAGTATTGAAGATTCTCAAATGAGAAGTACAACGGTTAGCATAAAAATAATGAACATGTGTTTCTAATGTATTCTATGAGCACAGTAGGATTATGTTATTAGCAAACACATGCATCCATCAGCTTTGAT